TTTCGTCCCAATTTAAAAATACAACGTATTTCTTACTTTTATCATTTTCGACAATATTACTTAAAAGTATCTATTTTTTATTTTAATAAAATTAATAATATATTAATATCAAAATATTTTAAATTTTTATTTAAATTATAAATATATCATTACATATATAATTATTTTATACATTATGTTAAATAACAAAAATATCAAATTTTTTTACATGATTTCACTAATAAATAAAGTATTATTATTTTTAATTTATTATAAAATTAAATGAGTTTATTCAAATGGGATGAAACGAGGAATATGTGTGTTAATTTATGTTTTTGAGTCGTGTTCGTATCAAATTAAGCCATAGGTGTAACAAAAAGTCTCAATCCGAACTAAAAAATTGACCAGAAAACATAGACCCAAACACATACAAATTTTTTCAAAACGGGTTCAGTCACCTTAAACCCAAACAAACTCAATACGGAATCCGAAAACTTTTTATAAAATTAATTTTACTTGAAAAAATTGTTTTTAATTTAATTTTTATATCATTTTATATTTAATATAATATAAATATTATTTAATTAAAAATAATACTAATAATAAATAATTTTAGGACAACCTGAAATCCGCAACCCGATTTGATTTTTATATTTCGAGTTATAATTAATCCAAAACCCGATCTGATCTTAATATATCGGATTATCAGATCAATTCGAAATCCGATCCGAGCACGACACAATTCTTTTATTTTATTTTGTTTCTTATTCGAATAAACCCAAGTAATTTACAAACTTGAACCTGAAAAATTTTAGATCAAACATATTCGATTTTCATGATCGAGTTTAATTTTGACACTATAACAAAAAAGAAGTAATATGTTGAAATTTACGGAAGCATATTAAAATCACGTGAAAACAAATCCTGAAATTTGGCTGTGTTTGTTTGGGGATTGAATTTTAAATACATTATTCATCTTATTTTTTTTCTAAAAAAAAATATTAAATCAAACAGCTATTTTTTATTTGTATGTTATATTAGAAAAATAATTTTACATTCAAAATATCACATCAATACCTATTTATATCATATCATGCAATTATTCAAATTAAAAAATTTTATTATTCAAATCCCACCTTAAAATCGAAAGCCACCCAAACACATCCAAAATATATTTACACAAGATGCCAAGGGGTGTTCCCACTTATTGACCAACCAAACTCCCGCATCCGCTAAACGACAAAACCGTCATGTCCTTCTCCTTTACTTTATTTATTTTAATTTATATATTCATATTAAAAATTCGAAAATTTGGGACAAAAAGTTAATTTAGTGGCGATTTGAGTGTGTTTATTTGATAAAGTTATTTTTCAAATTTTATTATTTGTATTTATTATTATTCTTTTAAATTAAAATATTTTTTAAAAATACAGTTAAATTAAAAAATTTCAAACCAAACTTTAAAAAAAAAAATACACAGAAATTAAAAATATGAAAATATTTTATATTTTTCGAAAAACATTTCTACATTATGCACCAACGTGTTTTTATTTAGAACTGAATTTCTAAAAAAATAACATTTGAAGATTTCTTTTATTTATTTATTTTATTCAAAAAATTATTTAAGATATTTTTTATTTTTATAAAATTTGCATAATTTAAGTTTTTATTTACAACCGAGCGTCAGTTTTGAACAATGAAGGTGTTTTGTGCAAATTTTACATTAATACAATAGAATTTCAAGCAATAAATATTGTGCATTTTTACTAAAATACGGAGGGTGTGTTATATAATTTACTCTTACATAAAAGTAAATAATTAAATAAAAGTATTACAAATAAGCAAAGGATGCGTGTGCTTCATGGTTACCCTTTCCCTTACCAAAGAATCAATAGTAATATGTCATTCATGACCTAATTAATCACTCAATTTATGCTTAAATTGAAAATTTTGGAGTTTTGGACAATTTTATAAATTGTAATTGAAATCTGAAATTTTGTAAAGTAGAATAATGTTTTATTTTGTTTTTACATATAGAATTGTAATAATAAAAAAATTGAAAAGAAAAAGGAAAGAAAATCACTAAAAGAAAAAAAAAATATTATATTTAATGTGAAATTTTTTAATATCCTAAAACAAAAAATCAAAAAATAGGTATTTGTTACACTTCAAATTATAATATTGTTTTTTCCACAATACAATTTTATTAATCGTATTATTAATTTACTTTTTAGCGTGACAATTTGGGAGTGTATGGAGTATGGGAATTGCTACGTTTCACTACAAAAAAATAATATATTTGTAACGAAATTTTGTTCCTAAAGTTCACGTAGCTAACGTAATTCCGTTCTTATTTCCGTCTCTAATGTCATTAGTAATGGAAAAAATAGATTTAGAGAAAAAAAATATATTGTTACAAAAATAATTTTTTCTTGTAGTGTTTTGGTATGTATGTCTAGCTGCCGACGAAAATGCTCAAGATTGTAATTACATAAGTATTTTCGAAAGTTTTTAATTAATCCCTCCATAATCAAATATGTATTTAAATATTTGGGTATAAGTTTTAAGGATAAATTATATAATATTTTTTTGTGTTTTTATATAAAATGTACAAAATATATTGTGTTTTATTTATTACGTGAAACCCCTTGTTTTAAATGTAAGGTTTGCACGAAATATTCTTATTGTCCAAAATTAATGTTTGGTTCTAAATAAATACTTAAATTATGCAAGTTTCGTACAAATAAAACCATAAAATATTTTAAATAATTTTTTTAATAAAATAAATAAATAAATAATTGATCTACCATTTATTTTTATAGTATTTGTAAAAATTAGATGACAATTTGTCTCAAAAAAATTATAAAACGAATGATTAATCAATTATTTATTTATTTATTTTATTCCAAAAAAAATATTTAACATATTTTAGGTCAAGCTTTACTTAAACACAAGGAATTTTTACTCAATAAATAAAATATAGTATTTGATGCATTTTTACTAAAATACAAAGAAATGTTATATAATTTATTTTAAATTTTAATAAAAATAGATAATACTGTAATTATTTTCTCTATTCAAACAAATTATATTGCTTTGTTTGAACATAAAAATTTAAAAGTAATAATATTTAAATATAAAAATAAAGTGAAGTATTATAAAAAATTTATTAAAGAGATAATAATAAATTGACGAGTAAATAAAATAATGACAAGTTAGTTATTAATATTTGTTAACGTAAGTATAATAAAATTAAAGATAAATAATTTATTTATAAGTTAAAAGGATAAAATAAAAAGGGTGACATAAGTAATTGAGACTGAGATTTTTATTTTTATTTTTATCTGTTATAGTGAAAATAATATAGAAAAATGATATAGTTTTTTGCTAAATTACATAATGTAAACACCTTTTTTTTATGATAATATAAAAAGAAAAATAAATTTAAATTTAAATGACTTAAAAATTTTTATTATTATTTTTAAAAAAAAGTAAATTATCATACTTAAATACTCTATCAATTTGCTTTTTAGATGTGGATTCTTTAATATTATTATTATATTTGTATGTAAATATAAATTAATAAAAACATACCAAAATATCCGTATTAATATTATATATAATAAAATAATTATATTTATGCAATATATTATAAATTATAAAAATATTATATTACTAAGTAATATAATTATTAAAAAAAATAATTTTGAGCATGAAAGAATGAATATATATTTTTTAAAATGTAGAAAATATTAATTTTTTTTTTTTTATTTTGCAAATTATTTAAAACTTCTATCTAAGCGAATAAGATGGACTAATATTTATTTAAATAAAATGCAACAATAATATTTTCATTAGGTGATGAAAAAAAATGAAACTGAATTAAATTAAAATATGTCCATTCGGCAATCTTGTAAACGGAGATTTAAAGTCTGCAAAAATGAGTGCGCAGATGAACGAAGTTGTCATTTGCCAAAAACAGCTAAGATAGTATTAAAGCAAAGTCGTGCTTTGTGTTTTAACGTTTTTATTTCGACACATTCGAGTATTGCGTGCGTCTTCACCCTTCTGGATATCAACGCTTTTGTTTGTTAGCGAGCAATTAATGCACTTTGCAGTCTACCCCTTTTAAATCTCACAATTCTCCCAACCACCCCCGGAAAAAAACAAAACAAAAAAAAGTCTCACCCGAACACGTGGGACCCACGATCCCCTTCTAGAGGAGTGGTATCAGCTGGGGCCCATTTGAATCGCCACGTGTCGGTATGTTAGTGGACGATCTTAGTGAACATCCCCTCAGATGCGGACAACGACAAAATCCAAAGCCTCACTCCGAGAAAGAAACAAAGGACATTTTTAAGCTCTATTTATTTATTTATTTTTTAAATAATAGTAAATATTTTATATTTATTTAATTATAATAGAGTGGAAAATAAAAGGGCGAGTGGGGCCCACGCTCCTGGGAGTCCTGACAAAAAAGCCATGTCGTCACGCGCTTTAACACTACACGACAAAACACGTGTCTCCCTGGATGGGATCGTGATTCCGGGCCAAAGTGGAGGGCAATTTCGTCAATTCATACGGCAGCTTTATTAGCGGACGCCGCGTTTTGTCTCCACGTGGAAGAACTCCCCTCTCCTCCAGAATTGCTATGTCCAGACCCGGTTTTGCTACTTCCAGACATCCTCGTTAAAGAGCTGTTTGTTTCTTCACCAATTTGAATAATCCAAAAATAGATAGTAACAAAATGAAGAAATAAATAAATAAATAACAAACATGGTAGAATCCAAACCCAGTCTACTCTCCTCTTACAAAATAAAAAACTAAAAAAAATCATTACCATAACCAATACTAAAAATAATACTAACAAATTTCAATTTATAAAATTATATAAATTTTATAAACAAACAAACAAACAGTGAGGAGGAAAATTGAAGTTGCGTATGTTAGAAATGGTGGGGCCTTTTAGGACAGTATAATTAGGCCGCCCTTACTTGTCGTCTCCTTCGTCGCCTCCGATCCCTATTTCCTTAATTTCTTCCCCTTTGACTCTCTCACTCTAGCCTGCTCTCTTTTGAAATTAACTTCTCTCTCATCAACTATATATATAATTCCGATTATTTCTTACTCTTACCTCCATTTTCAATTTCTTCCTCACCTGCAATTTGAAAAGACTTTCAGTCCGTCCATGGCCTTTGATTTTTAATTCTTTATTTTTTTTTTAAAGGAGAGAAAAAGGGTTGGCTTTGTTTGGATGTGAAAAGTTTTGAACAAAAAACTCAAATCTTTTTTCAGTACGAGATCGATTATCTAAGCAGAAGTGATTTCGGAAACAAACAGCTCCTTGTCATGGCGGGCAGCGATGAAGTAAACGTCTGTGAATCGAAGGTAATTAGTAATTCAGTAATTGATAATCTGAATCAGTCTGTGTCATCTTCTAGGGTTTAGTTTAGTTTAATTTGGGGATTTTTAAAGATCGTCTTATAGTCATTATCTGATTCATCATCCTTAAAAAACTTACGTTAATGGAAGATATTGTCTGAAAATCAAAATCTATATCTGCAGCGTGTAGTTCCCCTCAACACATGGATTTTAATTTCGAATTTCAAGCTCGCCTACAACATGCTCCGCCGCCCCGATGGCAGCTTCAACCGCCACCTCAACGAATTCCTCGACCGCCGTGTTCCGGCGAACGCCGTCCCCGTCGATGGCGTCTATTCCTTCGACGTCGTCGACCGCGCCACCGCTCTCGTCAACAGAGTCTATCTCCCCGCCGCCGTCGGCGGCGGCGCCGCCCCTAAATGGGGAGGAATCCTCAGCCTAGATAAGCCATTGAGCAGAACAGAAATCGTGCCGGTGATCGTCTTCTTCCACGGCGGAAGTTTCGTCCATTCCTCCGCCAACAGCGCCATCTACGACACCTTCTGCCGCCGTGTCGCCGGCGCGTGCGCCGCCGCCGTCGTTTCCGTTAACTACCGCCGGTCGCCGGAGCACCGTTACCCCTGTGCCTACGAGGACGGCTGGGCCGCCCTCAATTGGGCCCGAACCCGGCCCTGGCTCCGTAGCGGCCCGAACTCGACTGTCCACGTGTACCTCGCCGGAGACAGCTCCGGCGGCAACATCGCCCACCATGTCGCCGTCCGGGCGGCGGATGAGGGCGGCGGCGGCGACGACGTCGTCCTCGGCGCGATCCTCCTCCACCCGTTATTCGGCGGTCAGAAAAGAACAGAGTCGGAGAAACGGCTCGACGGAAAATTCTTTGTAAGGGTTCAAGATCGGGATTGGTATTGGCGCGCTTTTTTGCCGGAAGGCGATGATCGGGACCATCCGGCGTGCAATGTGTTCGGGCCGAGGGGCCGGGACCTCGAGGGGCTCGATTTCCCGAGAACCCTCGTTGTTGTGGCGGGATTGGATTTATTACAAGATTGGCAATTGGGGTATGTCGACGGGCTTAGAAAGTCGGGGCACGACGTTCGGCTATTATATCTCGAGAAAGCGACGATCGGGTTTTATTTTTTGCCCAACAACGATCACTTCCATTGCTTAATGGACGAGATCAAGAATTTTATCCGCTCTAATGACATGTTTACTAACGGTCGATATTGATTTTAAATTCAATATTATAAATTTATTGTATATGAAATTATTAAGAACGTTGTTTTGACATCCATCGACGATACGAAGAATTAGATTGAGATAGGTTGATTGTGTTTATGTATATTTGTGTAAGAAAGAATGGATTGTTCTTTCTTTTGGTTCCCCATGTTGGAGAATTTGTGAGTGATGGCTGCCTCATAGCCAACAGGGGATATGCAGTAACTGTATTTGTATACAAAAAAGTATGTATTTTTAATCATTTTAGTTTATTTTTTAAATGTTTGTTTATTTATATTTAGTAAAGATATTGAATTTTTTTCCCAATAAAATTATTTTTAATATATATATTATTATTATTATTATTTTTATTAAAGTCAACATTCAATACTTTTTTCTATAGTTTAAATTTATTTACATTTTTTTTTCATCAAAATTTATCTACTTTCTCGGTCCGGTGTAAGATTGTCATTTATTTTTCGCACATAATTTTTTTAATATCAGTATTATAATAAGTTGTAGTAAAAAAAGACAAAAATGCTCTTATTAATATTGTTTAATACTCCCTCAGTCTCAGATATCATGTCCACGTTGCCGTTTCCGTCAGTCCAGTCCCACGTACCATGTCACTTTCATTTTTTGAAAAATGATACACACTTTAACTTTATTTTAAATTTTTTAATTTTATTTTTTTAATTTTAATTAAACTAATTAGTTATCTTAATTTTAATTTATAATTATTTATATTATAGGATAATTATTTTCACTAATATATTTTTAATTATCTACTAATTATACCAATCCTAAATACCATGTCTACAGTGTAGCAGAGACACTGGACGGAGGGAGTATAAAAATAATTATATTTGTGTAACATAGTGTAAATTATAAGATATTTTTTTATGTTAGGTAAGTAATAATACCATTATTAAATTAAGAAATAGTAACGTTATTTTGGAATATAGAAAAATAAAAAATAACAACTTTTTAATAAAATAAGGGAATATATATATTTTTTAGTAAAAAAATATTACTTTTTCTTTTTTATTACCTTAAAAAAATAAAAAATTATATTTTATTTATTTTTCTTAAAATCCAGTCAAATGAATACAGTTAAATGACTGAGTACAAAATATTTTCTTTATCCTACATATTTTTTGTTTATATTGCTCTAGTCCCGTTCTATTTCGAACATGTCAATTTTTTTTTCTAAAATATAATTATATATTTTAATTATGTTTTAAATTTTGTAGTCGGTATTTTTATAAATGTTTTTAGATTAATTAATTACAGTACTTTTAATATATAATTATTCTACGTATATATTTTATTTTTTATTAATATATTTTTTAATTAATTAATAATTATACAATTTATAAAATTTAATATATGCGGTTGCACAAGACATGATAGGTGGGATTGAAAGAATATTCTCTCTTAATTTATAAGGGTGTGTTTACTTGTAAAATTTTATTTTTGGATTTTGATTTTAAATAGTAAAATTTTGAATTGAATAGTTGTTTGATGTGATATAAATATATATTGATATGATATTTTGAATATAAAATTTAATATAATATATGAAAAAAATTATTTGATTTGATATTTTTAGTGATTTATTTTTTTTAAAAAAATAATAAAATCAAAATCAAAATTCTACGTTAACCAGTTTATTTGGTTTTTACAAAAATAAAAAATTAATATTCCACCGTCATAAGTTTAACTATTCATTTATCATTTTCTTCTGTTCCCCTATAAATTTATTATATTCTTATTTTAGTAAAAATATTCATACATTAATATTAAAATATCATTTAATTTTTACCTAAATTGTAAAAATATAATTATTTTATTATTTTAATAAAAGTAATAATGGCATAATACTAAAATATTTTTATTTTTTACATTAATTACAAACATATCATTATATATACATTTAATTTACATATAAATGTAAAAAGTAAAAATATCAAAACTGCTTACGAACTTTTGCTTATTAATAAAATCCTATTACCTTATCCGTCCTTAATAATTTGGACTTAGATACAAGAATTTAGATAAAAGTATAACTATTAAGTATTAAGAAGTGTATTAATATAAATAAAGATTATATAATAAAAGTAATTATAGAATAAAATTAAGACAACTAAATAGTTTAATTAAGATTTCAAAAATAAAAAATTATAAAATTTAAAATATGTTAAAACGTATCATCAATATATTTTTTTTTTTTATAGAAAATGACAAATTACGTAGGATGAACGAAAATATAAAATATTATTTTTTAATATTATTTTTAATTTTTTTTTAAATTTTCTTTTTAAGTATGTTAAAGTGGAATAGAAGGATAGTATTCTTTAATTTATATACTCTCTCCGTCCCATAACAAAATATCTATTTTTTCATTTTAGTCCGTCTCATAACAAAGTATCAATTTCCTCTTTTTTAGTAACTGTACTCTCTATCTAACATTACAAATACCCTTACAATTTACAATATATTACACAAATATCGTTACCTTTATATCACACATACTAATAAGATTATTTTAGTCATTTATACTTTATTCATCCTATATTCCAACGTAATACTAATATTTTCTAAAATCACGTGCAAAAAGCAAATGAATATTTAGTTTCGGGACGGAGGGAGTATAAAATTTTTTTATTTTTTTTTAAAGGAACATAGTGAGTATTATTTTTTAATAAAAATAGTAGATCAAATTAAAATTCAAAAATCGAATCAAATAAAACCTCACATTTTTAATTAAGAGATATTGATAATGGATTCTATCTTTTCTCCGAAGTGATATTGTTCTTTAATTGGGGGGTGGCGGGTTGCGAACACCAGGGGTGGTATAATATGCATTACCAAACAGCGTTTCTTAGTGTGTGGACCATGGTCCTGGGAGTCCCGTTCGGAGCACTACTATAGACCCAATCGCCAGTTGCCACGTAGTGTTATTCGTATGGGAAATTAATTAAATTAATTCGGGGAGCATATGTCGGAATCTGATGTTGATTTGATTTGATTCATCATTTGATGCACACACACGCCACTCAGGCGCCTGTCTAGAAAAAAAGTACTTAAATCTGTCATACATAATTTAATTTGTCACTTTTTTCTATTTTTGTCTGTTTCATATAATTTATTTATTTTTTTTGAAAATATAATTATCCCTTTTAATCATATTTTAAATTTTAAATATTATAAACTTTTTATCTTAATTAAACTATTTAGTTATCTTAATATTAATCTATAATTATTGTTACTAAATAAAACTTATTTTTACTAATACACTTCTTAATTATCTATTAATTATACTTTACCTAAATTTTCGTATATAAAGTAATAGGTCCAAAATATATGAGACAGAGAGAGTATTATTGGAGATTATATATAAATATCATTAAAACAGATCCAATAAACTCAAATATAAATAAAATAATATAATAGATACACCAAATTTAAATCTAATAAATTTAAAATTAAATATAAAAAATTTCTCGACAACCTACATAGTTCATCTTTCCTCTTTTGACGGTCACTCAAAATTAACCATATTTCTTAATATAGTAATAATTAGCAAATATTAATTACACTTACACATTTAATTATATTTTATTCAATTACTAATACCCATAATTTTTATTATTTATTTTATTGTAAATTTAAAAGTATGACTAGATTTTTGAATAATAAAAATAAATAAATATTCAATATGATATAAATAAATGTTTATGTAATGCTTAAAATTTAATTAATTTTTAATATAGTATAAAAAATATTTATTTTGATATTTTACAATTGAAAATTAGTTAATAATAAGATTTGATTTTTATATTTTATTAAAAAAATTTATTTATCACTATTATTAATAATAAAAAATATCAATTTATTCAAATAATACAAGTACTGTATAAAAAATATTACAATATCAAAATTACTGTATATCCTAACTTTTTCTCGTGCCCACTCTTAATAAATCGTCTTTTATGAGACCGAGGAAGTACTAAAACATGCAATTTATTGAAGTTGGGACTTGGGAGTCCCGGGAGCCCCAAATAACTAAAGACCTATCTTGATTAAGGAAGCGAAAGATTGGAGGGTTGTGAGAAGGGAACAGCTAAGACAATAGACAATATGAAAAATGAAAAAAATGAAAAATAGAAAATGAAAATAAAATTATTACTCATTTCGATCTTTTAACCATATATTTATTTTTCTTATTTTGATCCGTTTCATAACAAAATATCTATTTTTTTAATAATTATATTATCTATCTAATATTACAAATAATTTTTCAATTTACAATATATTACACAAATTTTATTACTTTTATATAATACAGTACTAATAGGATTTATTTAGCTTTTTTATTTTTATTTCTATTTTATTCCAATATAATACTAATATTTCTAAAATTTTGTATAAAAAATAAATGAATATATAAATATAGAACGGGCGATAATATTATTATTATTATTATTATGTTTTAATAAAACCCTCCTTTTTATCTTATCACTACTATTTGACGTTTGACTTCTCATGGGAATGTGTATGTCATTATTCCAATTATTCTAACAAATATTGTCATAACAAACACAACCACAATAACAATAATACTCCATCGTCTCACATAATTTGTCCTTATTTTTTATTTTCGTCCGTCTCACATAATTTGTCCTTTATATTTTTGGAAATATAATTATACACTTTAATAGCATTTTAAATTTTAAATTTTATAATTTTTTTAATTTTAATTAAACTATTTACTTATCTTAATTTTAATCTATAATTATTTTTACTAATATACTTCTTAATTACTTACTAATTATAATTTATCTAAATTTTCGTCTCTACAATAATATACCCATATTACATGAGACGGAAGAATTAATAATAATAATAATAACAACAATTCGTACCGCTACTCGTCTACTCACTTTTGTTTTCTTCCTTTGCATTATTCACACTTTGGCCTTTTCTTTCTTACATCATTTAGCTTTATTCATAAAATATATTTTTATATTATTACAAACCCTTCTCCTTTGTCGTGACTTACTATGGTTTGTCCTTTTGCAAGAGAGCCAATCATGTCTACACGATAAAAATTAACCCTTAATTAATTACTCTCGTCTGAATACAATAATTTTATTTATTATTTTTATCCGTTTAAAAATAATAGGCTCATTTTTATAAATAATCATATCGATATAAAATTATTCTTACTTTTTTTATTATTATTATATAATTGTCAATATTTTTTGCACTAATACACTCACAAGGACAAAAAAGTATTTTATTTATATTTTTTACCCACTATCAATATAATATCAATATTCCTTAAATTTCGTGTCGAATACAACTTAGACTATACTTTTGGGACGGAAAGAGTATTTTTTTAAAAAAAATTTCAATATAATATATAAAATGGTATAAATTAAAGAGGGTTAGAGTACTTATTGAAATTAATTAACACTGTTTCTAATCAATACCTACAATATCAAACATCACATGGTTTTAAAGGTGTAAGCTATCCAGTCCTATTTACGGTAGATACAAAAATTTAGAAAATGTATAATTAGTAAATAATTAAGACTATATTAGTGAAAATAATTATAGTATAATAAAAATAATTATAAATTAAGATTAATATAACTAATTAATCCAATTAAAATTTAAAATATTAAAATGAGATTAAAATCTATGATCTTTTTTAGAAGGTAAAATTGCTTATAACTCCCCTATGGTTTCAAAATTCAGCGTAAAATCTTATTGTACTTTAAAAATTGCATGGTACCTCCTTATACTTTAAAAAACGTTGTATGAAACCCCACCACCATGAAACTTTCCTCGTGTGATAAGAAGATGATTTCTTATCTATATGTTTTGCATGACAATGGGGTTTTATGCAATATTTTTTAAAGTATAAGTGAACGTCATATAATTTTTAAAGTAAAATGGGGATTTATGCTGAGTTTCGAAATCACAAAGTGGTTTCATGCAACATTTTTTAAAGTATAAGGGGACATCACGCAATTTTTAAAGTAGAGGGGAAATTTACGCTGAGTTTTGAAACCACAGGGGAGTTATAGAAAATTTTGCCTTTTTAGAAAATAAAAAATGACAGAATAATTGAGACAAACGAAAATAGAAAGGTGAACACGGTAAATGAGACGGATCAAATATCAATTTTTCTATTATAATTAAAATAATTATACTAATACCAAAATATTTTTTAATTTTTACATAAATTACAAACATATCATAACATAAGCAATTGTCGTATACATAAAATACAAAAAAATAAAATAAAATAAAAATATAAAAACTATTTTACACATTTTAACTATAAAATTATCGTATACTCCTTCCGTCCTGGTGTCACATTTTAACTATAATTATCATATAATAAAAATAATTTTAATTAAATAAAAATAAAAATAAAAATAACTAATTAGTTTAATTAAAAGTTTAAAAACTATAAATTAATTTTTTTAAAAATAAAATATATAATTTATTTTTATAACATGACAAGTAAGATGGATGAAAATGGAAAGATCAAACGGAAAGGGAAAAAAGTATATTGTTGATTAATATTTTATGTGTTATATATTTGCCGATTCAACAATAAATACTTTTGCAATGAATGACATTATTATATTTAATGGTAATAAAATTAATGTGGTTTTACTTTTTCAAGAATGAAGACATCTTTCGTTGTCAAAGATTCTTGTCGGCATCTGAACGAGTCTCCTCCAGGGGCATTATTGTCAAATCACAGTATATTTCAAAGCCCAATGTACTTGGGCTTGTACTATTTTTCTGTTTTCAAGTGGGCCTTTTAGTTTGGGCCATTAATTTTGGGCTTCAGTTGAACATAATTGGGCCCACTAACGGAATAAATCTATCACGATTGTACGATATGCTGTTTTTGGAGTACGTTGGGCTTTTCGTGTTAGCAGCTGCTGTTTGCGAAACAAACTATGGCGGAAGAGAAGCCATTGTAGGGCAACTCCAGTCCACGCTACAGTAGTCCATACCATACAGCTAAAGGCCGTATGGACAAGCATAAATTAATTGCTGGCGTAGACGTCTACCCTAATCCACTTTTTTCTCCATCAATTTTGACGCTGGGGATTCGGGAAATCGCGTTCCGTGTTCGAGCAGAAGAGGTAAGAGTTATAATCCGGAGAATCTTCTCAATTTTACACTATTGCAGTGAAATATTGTGCGGATGACGACACTTCATATGTAGGATTCCCGAATTGGATAGGAATTGGCGTTGGAGCGAAGCATTTGCCCTTCGACACTGTGTTGTTGAACATTAACCTAACTCAGGAGTTCTGATAACCGTCTCTTCTCCAAGTGAAGGAAAAGGGGAAGGGGACAATAGTTTGGATTGAGATCATTCAGTATTCCTCCAATCATCCGAAAAAAGTTCGGAGAAGATAGCGGTAAGTGGTGATGGTGTTTGGGGATGTCCCAATCCCTTTGTTTTTTCTTCCTTGGCAGTATGCAAGCATGCCGTTCGACTTTCGAGATTGATTTTGTTAATGATTTTCTTATGTGAAGACTTTTTTTTCACTCATTTGACATAAGATTTGTCGAGAAATGATTCCTTGAAATGCGGGTTTGATTGCTCTGTTCATATCGATTTCAGTTAGTGAATTTCGAAGATTTCAATTGCTCAAAGCATCTCTAGAAAACAGCTAAGAACATAGGGTATGGATTATGGAATAGGATTGTTAGATCAAAGGAGAAAGAATCAGTAAAGATCACAGAATTGATTTGAGATTCTTTCTAGAATTTCTCCTCAAAGAAGTTTTGATGTTCTTCATACATTGAAAGGAAGAATAATTTTGGTGCCTATAATTTGCAGGTGTCTCTTTGATAAACCATCTGATTCTGCCATGTTCGATTCTCAAAACCTCTGCACATCCCAAGGGGTTGCTTAAAATGTTATTCATCGATCAAGACATTGGCATCGAGAACATGGGCTATACTTTTAGTAAATTGGAGGTCGACTCTGGGCTTCTTGACGGTTCGAGTTCAAGTTCAAACAATGGAGTCGACAGTAGTCCTCCGCACAAAAAGCAGTTGAATGTGCTAGACAACGATATAGTGCAGCTGACAAAGCTTCGATCAGAACCCCACGATCATTTCAACCTTTCCTGGCAAGGGAAGCTGCGAGAGTATCCAATTTCGACCGTTAAAATGTTGGCTGGACGAGAAGCGAATGTCTCAGGAAGAGGAAGGTTTTCGTCGCGGGATTTTTGCCATGTCGTGAGTAAATACTTGCCGGTTAATGGCCCGTGGGTTGTCGACCAGATGTCGACCAGGGCGTATGTATCACAGTTTTCTTCGGATGGATCGCGTTTCGTCGCTGCATTTCAGGTGTTATTCGTAAATGGATACTCTGTTTTTCTTGATTGAAATTCTTGGCGATGGTAACTCATCCGGGCTTCGATTTTTCGTGAAACAGGGAAGTCAAATCCGAGTGTACGATGTCGACAGAGGATGGAAAGTTCAGAAGAACATTCTTGCTCAAAGCTTGAGATGGACTATTACTGATACGTCCCTGTCGCCTGATCAAAGATATCTTGTTCGTCGTCCACTGGTTTTGTGTTTTATCGTAATCGTATTTTACCGTAATCTAACGACGAGATCGATTACAGGTGTATGCCAGCATGTCCCCGATCGTGCACATCGTCAATGTCGACTCCGCGACAAGAGACTCTCATGCAAACATCACGGTATGACAATTGGACGTCGTTCAGTCTTTTTACGATTGAAGCGTAACGCGTCACTGTTATTCTCTGTGCAGGAAATTCATGACGGTTTGGATTTCTCGTCTCCCGACGGCGGGGGGTATTCTTTCGGAATTTTCTCTCTGAAATTCTCGACCGACGGGCGAGAACTTGTTGCGGGAAGTAGCGACGAGGATTTATATGTTTACGACCTCGAAGCAAACAAACTCTCCCTCCAAATCCCCGCACATACGGTAGTGATTCGGGATAAAATCGAGCGGAAACTTTACTCTCGTTCGACAAAATTATGCAATTTTTTACGATCATAGACTGTAAATGTTGTTCGTTTTCGTGCAGTCGGACGTAAACACCGTATGCTTCGCTGATGAAAGTGGTAATCTTATATATTCGGGAAGCGACGACAATTTCTGTAAGGTAGTATTTATTTTAAGCCTCGATGTTTATACGTCTCGAATTTTACGTAATTTTTGTCGATCGTTCGTTGCGTTTAGGTTTGGGATCGGCGTTGCTTACGAGCTAAAGGAAAGCCGGCGGGAGTTCTGATGGGGCATCTCGAAGGCATAACGTTTATCGACAGCCGTAAAGACGGGCGTTATCTAATATCCAACGGTAAAGATCAAGCGATCAAGCTGTGGGATATTCGAAAAATGTCCTCTCTTGCGAACTGGTACAGTTTCGTTGTACTATTCCTTAGACATTCGACGGCGGGAGCATCGTCGCTAATCAATTCTCGTCATTTTCAGCTATCCGGGAAGAAATTACGAATGGGATTACCGATGGATGGATTATCCGCAGCAAGCTCGGGACTTGAAGCACCCGTACGACCAATCGGTAGCGACTTATAAAGGCCATTCCGTCCTCCGAACGCTCATCCGTTGCTACTTCTCGCCGGAATACAGGTCAGTGCTACGAATCCAATAATTTTGACCGTAAATTGCGTCGAATTTAATTAATATAGTTGCGAATTGGTTACTGCAGCACGGGACAGAAGTATATCTACACGGGGTCGCACGATTCGTGCGTTTACGTTTACGATTTGGTACGCGTCTCGTTAAATTATATCCCGACATTTCTATCGATCGATCGTTCGTAAAAATTGGATTAGCGTCGGAACAGGTGAGCAGGGCGCAGGTTGCGAAGCTGCAGCACCATAAATCGACGGTGCGGGATTGCAGCTGGCATCCGACGTATCCGATGCTGGTGAGCTCATCGTGGGACGGCGATGTCGTGAAATGGGAATTTCCGGGGAACGGGGAGTCGCCCGTGCCGGCTAATAAGAAGAAGCTTCGAAGGAGACACTTTTATTAAGGGTTCGATGTATCGACGCCGCATCGATGTTTCCGACTGCCGTCAAATTTGAATAAGTGAGTCGCCGGCGCCGGAGACGGTTTGTCGTGTGTTAATTATTTTGTTTGTTGTGTACATATGGTAAGATGAAAGGAAGTACAAGTGTCTGGACATGGAGTTTTTAAAATAACGAATAAAAAATATGCTTTTTTTTTTTTTTAATGGTAAATAATTTTTAATATTTTCTTTAATTTATAATTTGTAATATTATATTTATTTACAAATGTATTACTATTATTTACATATTTAATATGTTTTACTTCATTAATGTATTTATATATCTTCTTATTTTATTTTACAATCAATCCATATGTTCATTTGTGAGCAAACGGAGTAATGTTTATATTTAGATTTTACAATATAATAATAGGACACTATTTGTTACTACCTCCGGTGTATATACAGTGTCTGCTACAATGTAGACACGGTATTTTAGGAGGTGTGTAATTATTAGATAATTAAGAATGTATTAGTGAAAATAATTATTTTATACTATAAATAATTATAAATTAAGATTAAGATAACTAATTAGTTTAATTAAAATTTAAAAAAAATAAATTAAAAAAAAGGGAAAGTGACATGGTACGTAGGACGGACATAAATGGCAACGTAGACATGGTATGTGGGACAGATGGAGTATTTGGTAAATGTAAATTTTATTCTATCTTATTATAATATAATTTTATAATTACTTTTAGCTTAAAATGAGAGAATATTAAGCAATGTCAATTTTTATTTTTGTTTGTATCTTAAAAATGTTCTTATTTTATTATTTAGTAAAATATTATATTATTTTTTATATTTTTATTATAAAACATAAAAAATAAAAAGAAATATTAAGCAAAACCTAAAATTAAAACTTGTTCCGAAGAATTTTGAGCATTTGTAAGACGGATGAAATAATACAAGAGTAGCAATGAAAATGATGAAAATAAAGAATAAAATTATTTATCAAATTTGGAATATAATATAATATAATTATTTATCTTAATAGTTGTGATTTGATTATATTTGCTTATAGAACTGAAATGTGATTATATATATATATATTTACAATTCCTTAATATTAATTTATAAAATTTTAATATATATTTTTATTGTAATTTTGTACTATATTATTTAATAATTTTTAATTTTTTAATAGTGATCATTCCACTATATATATATATTTAAACTTTTAATTATGACATTACGAGTTTAAACTTTCATAATTTTAACTTTAGTTTTTTATATATATATATTTTGTAAAGTATGATTTGTCTACTTTGTAAATTATTAGATTCTATAAAAATTTATTCAAAATACACTAATAAGGGTGCGTTCGTTTGTAGGATTTTACACAAATTTTACTATTAATCAAATATTTTTTCTTCAAAAATATCAAATCAAATACTTATTTTTTTTATTTTTTTATATTATTCTAAAAATTAATTTTACATTCAAAACATCGTATCAACACCTATTTATATTACATAATACAATTATTACAATTCAAAATTTTTACTATTCAAATCTCAACTTAAAATTCAAATCCAGAACAATCACACCCTAAAAATTTTCTACGTCATTAAAAAAAGAAAAAAAAAAAAAAGATGAATGTGTTGTCATGACGAGTGAACCTGCAGCCGCTATCCGAAAGTGTTTACTGAGTAAACTTTCGACCAAACCTAATACTCTGTAAATTAGACCAAACGAGAAAGTCACTCTACGCAAATCATGTACTATCAGATTATCTCTTACGGAACAAAAGATGAATGTGTTGTCTTGCTCGTGACAAAAGGGGTGGGTGGGTAAATCGATAATCATGTGATAATGATGATAATCCATGTGGCTACTAAGATTCTAAGTCAAGAATTCATGCTTCTTTTATTAGGACCAAACTAATAAAATAATAATAATAATAATAATAATCAATCATCTTTTGCATTGTTAATACTTATTTTTGTGTTCCTTTTGACCACACCAACTAGCAACTACTCCACTCTCATTGCCTAATCATATATATATATATATATATATATAATCCATTAGTCTTTTTTTACTCTTTACTTTTTTCCAGTTTCTTTTATTTAAAGAACATGAAAGTTTCCAATTTCTATTAAAAAATATATATATTACATTGAAAAATCAGTTATCTTCGATAAGAGTAGTGCAAAAGATGTGAACTTATGGGTGTGTTTGTTCGGGGCTTTGGATTTTGAGTTGGGATCTGAATAGTAAAAATTTTGAATTTGAATAGTTGTATGATGTGATATAAATAGGTGGTGATGTGATGTTTTGAATGTAAAATTGATTTTTAGTATAATATAAAAAATAAAAAATAAGTGTTTGATTTGATGTTTTTTAGGAAAAAAAATTGAATGAATAAAGTAAATCCAATCCAATCCCAAAAAAAAAAATGTAATGATATTAATATTAGAATAAATAGTTAGAACATTGGGTGTGGAAGATAATAAAGTAAAGATCAATAGTCACAATAGATGATTTTATAGACAAGAATTGGACCATATTATTATTATTATTATTATTATTATTATTATTATTATTGTTGCACCAAAAAAGTATTCTTTCAAATCTTCATATTATTGTCCCATCGTCTCTAAATATTGAAAGACATTTTACATACATTTAAATATGATATTATTGTCATTAAAAAATTGATATTATTGGAGTAGTATTTAAAAAAAACTGATTTTATTTTAGTATTATATATTTTTTTTCTCCTATATAACATCATACTCCCTCCGTCTACGAATTAATGTCCTATTTTTTATTTGGGACGTCCAACAACTATTGTCCTATTTCTTTTTTAAAACACAAATTTTACATTTTTACCTTTCATTCATTTATTACTTTTAATCTCTACCATACACTTAAGGACAAATTTGTCAATTCATAACAAAAAGACAATCACCTAAAAAACCGTGTAAATATATTTTAAGACAATAAAAAATAGACGGAGAAGTATTATATATTCTTCGGTCCGGCAATTTTAACCCATTTTAGGTCAGCACAAAATTAAAAGAATTTAAAGATTATAAAGAGAGAACGTAAATGATGTGTAATAATGATAAAAAATTTGCTGTAAAAAAATACTAATATTTGCTATTCCACTAAGAGATGAGATCACATGCTCATTTTTTCGTCTCATTGAAATGTTATCAGTTTATATTTTTGTCCGTCTCAAAACAAGGTTACTATTTTCTAATTTAGCGATTGTACTACCTATTTCATATAATAAATACTTTTTTCAACTTACAAAATATTACACAAATGTCATTGCTTTTATATTATACAATATTAATAAGGGTATTTTTGTCTTTTTCACTACAATCCAATATAATACTAATATTAAAAAATCTACGTACAAAAAACAAACGCCACCCTTTTTGCGGGACTGGAGGGAGTATTTTTATTTTAATTCCCACTTCTAATTTTAAATTTAATCTTTTTAATTAAATAAATGATTTAGTAGTCTTGATTAAATTCAACCTCCTGTTCCAATAATTTTCAACACTCTAAAATTCTCAATACATAAGGGTGTGTTTGTTTGGAGGATTTCTTAATATTTCCACTATTCATCAATTTTTTTTTCCCTACAAAACATCAAATCAAACACCTATTTTTTATTTTTTATATTATACTAAAAATTAATTTTACATTCAAAACATCATATCAACACCTATTTATATCACATCGTACCACTATTCAAATTCAAAAATTTTACTATTCAAATTTCAACTCAAAATCCAAATCCCCGAACAAACACACCCTTAGTTAAACGAAATCCAAAGAATTATATTATCAGATTTAGTGATACAGCTTCTACTCCATCCAACATATATTTTTATCATTTTTATCTGTCTAAATATAATAAGTATGATTACATTCATATTATAAATATCTTCAAACACGTAAATATATTTATATATCAAATTAAGAAGTACCCATCAATTGTCATTTAAATAAAACATTCTTAAAAGGCCACACAAAATAAATATTTATTCCTGTCAACTCATAAGAAAGATGTTCATTTCGAATTATATTATTTTATATTTTTGTCCGTCCCAAAATAAGATAATCATTTCATAATTTAGTAATTGTACTACTTACCTAACATAATAAATACTCTTACAACTTAAAATATATTACACAAATATCATCACTTTTATAACACACTATATTAATAGGGGCATTTTTGTCTATTTCATTACAACTTAATATAATACTAATATTCACAAATCTATTTGCAAAAAACAAAGGGTACTCTTATTGCAGGATGGAGGGGGTATTATTTTTATTTTTAGTATCTTTTTTAATTTTGTACTGCCTATTTAACATAATAAATACCCTTCAAATATAAAATATATTATAAAAAATACTATAACTTCTATGCGTATTATACAATATCAATAGAAATATTTTTATTTTTTATTTTTAACATAAATCAATATGATAATATTTAAAAATTAACATGCAAAAGGCTAATGACAAATGTAGAAGAATAATCTTCGAATATGTTATGCTTAAATTTTCTGCAAATTAGATGCTATTTATTTTTTAATTGTCCATTAAATTCATATATAATTTATTTGTAGTAATTAATTTTATTGATAAACAGTTTTACTATTTATATTTTATCATATAATAATTAATTTAAAAGTTCGAATGTATAATACATATCAGATAAGTAGAGAAGTGTGACGTGACAGACAATAACACAGTTGAGTTGATGATTAGTACGTAAGAGAAGTGCGTGTAACTTCCGACAGACATTTCCCAACGTCTTCTCATCACAAACGCTTTTTTTTTTTTTTTTCATTTAAAATTTATACGGACAAAAACACCCAAAATAAAATCAACAACCAAAAATCCCAGATCATTTTAAAAAATAAATAATAATAATAAAAAAAAGGCAATTGGAGAAAATATTTATATATTTAAATAAAATAAAGTAAAAACTATATTCTATAAACTTAATTTCTTAATTACAAAACACATCTGGATTCACGTATCCACATTTAAAGCCTTTAATTTTCATCACTTGTAATATTTTATCCACCCAAAAAATAACAACCAAAAATAAAAATAAATCAACGAATTTTAATTAATTAATTAATCAATGAATTACCATTTTACCCTTTCCACTGAATGCACTGCTCCGTCGGCCTGGTCTTCTGGGTCCCGGCCTTCAAAGGGCACGGCGTCTGCAACGGCAGGACCATACAGTTGTACTGCAAACACAGCGAAGTACTCACCGGAATCTCCACCGTCGGATTGATCTCGATCCCCGTCAGGTAGTTGTGCTGCAGGTACAGTATCTGTATCCCCGCCGACAGCACGCGATCCACCATGCTCGCCGGAACTCTCCCCGTGAAACGGTTGTTATTCAGGTACAGATTCTGCACCGTCGACAACATTGGGGATATCTCGCCGGAGAGACGGTTATAGCTCAGATCCACCGTCGGGATCGTTACTTGGTCCGCCGGTTGAACCGCGCCGGAGAATTGGTTCCGCTGCAGTTGGAGGCTACTGATCGGAAAACTGAAGAGGTTGCTCGGAATACAGCCGGTGAACTGGTTCAAACTCAGGTCTAAATAGCTCAACTGCTCCATTCTCGACAGTATTCCGTCGACCGGACCGGTGAGGCGGTTCCACGACAGAGATAGGTACTGGACGGAGGCAGGCAGCCCTAGCGGCGGAAGATCACCGGAAAAATCGTTGTGCTTCAAATCGAGGCGAGTTAGGGTTTCCGAAACGAACGGCGGAATCGAACCTGAGAGGCGGTTATGGCAGAGGACAACGTTCGTCAGCGCAGGGAGAGTCCCGACGGCGAACGGAATACTTCCGGTGAACTGATTAAAGCTGAGATCGAGCGTCCGCAGCCCCCGGAGTTGCCCCAAACTCGCCGGAATATCACCGGACAAAAAGTTCCGACTAATGGCCAAAAACCTAAGCGATTTCAACTGAGATATAGCAGGAGGCAATGCTCCATATACCCGACCCGGAACGACGGTAAGCTCCGCGAGCGCAGAAAGCTTCCCGATGGCCGGGTCGATCCGACCCGTCAAACCCTGGGACCCGGCCCGAGGATCGCCGAGGTTAAGAGCGACGACTCTATCGGCGTCGCAGTAAACGCCGGCGAAGTTGCAGGGATCGGAGGTGAAATCCCAGGCGGCGAAGTAATTAGAGCCAGGTAAATCGCTGAGGCCTTTTCTGATCGATTGCAGGGCGAGGAAGTCGATCGGGTCGAGCAAAGCGGCGGCGAGTGTTAAGAAATGGGAGATCAGAAATACGAACCCTAACGGCGACTCCATAACCGGCGGCGGAGAAGCTCTGTAATAAGAAGGAAGGAGGTGTGCCTATATATATATATAAGTAAAAAGAGTGTAGGGGGGGGAATGCTTTTCCGTGAAGCTTTAATGGCGACAGCATCAAAAGTTGCAGAGGAGAGTTGAAAACTGTGGTGGGGGGGGAAAAGTGGCTTCACAAGAAAGCTTGAGAGGGACGACAACGGGGTTAATAGGAAGAAATTGGGGGTGGGTTTTCTGTGTATTTGTGGTTTGAGGAAGAAGGTGGAGATCAGAGGCAAAATTGATTGGATTTTGGGGAATTGGGGGATTATTAATTGTGGGTTTTGGTTGTTTATTGAGTAGGAGGTTCGGGGGGCAAACGGTTGTCCGAGCCTACGTGGAGGGGAGGGGTTTAGGTTCGGAGTTGGGCTCGAAAGCACGTGATGGTCTTGGTCTTGGTCCTGGAGTCAAGCGGGCCACGGAATAGTTGTGAATGTCGCCACGTAGGATGGACAGCTGGCAGACGATTCGCGGGTTGAATTTAGTTGTGTTGATTTATTTATATTTATATTTATAATTTATTTATTTGTTTATTATAAGATGGGTTGATAGTTGAATTGATTAAATAAATGAATTTAGATTTGAAGTATAGAAGTTTATTAATTGAGTTTGTATTGCAACATCTACCCCATGGTTGGGGAAAGATGTTCAATAAATAACTTTTACGTTACACAATTTTAATTGTTGCATTTATTTCGACCTTTGAAATGTGGCTTCATTTCGGTTTAAGTTTAAGTTTGTGGGAAATTATGTGTGGTGTTTATTGTTTAATGTAAAACCACAAGCTTTTGGATTATTGTGTTAGCATAGAATCCAATCTGAAACAACAAATAAGCCTTTCAACACTCAACACCATGTATTTGGACGTTATTTTTGTATTTTTTTTAGGGTAAAATAGAAACTGTTGTAAGATTAGAAATGCATATATATATATATATATATTATTAAATAATAAAATTATAGAAAAAATGAATTAAAGAAATAAAAAAATACCAAGAATTTGTTTATTTTGGCTTTAATTTTGTCTTTTAATTTAAACAATGATTTTAATGTAATGTTTTGTGATTTTTTTTTTTTTTTTATTTATAGAAAATTTTGAAAGTTGCATAATAAACAAATTGAAAACATTTTTTCAAGTAAACCATGCAACTATTTGGATTATTATTATTATTATTTTATTCACATAGGCTATATAATTTCTCAAAATTGTGTAACTCTCAATAATTATATACTTTCTGATCTGTCTCACATATTATGTTATGATATTCATATACTTTCTGATCTGTCTCACATATTATGTTATGATATTTGTTTTTGTTCATCTCATATCTTATAGTATTATCTTTTATTTTTGAAAAAGTATAAATATATTAATAATTATCTTCAACTTAATTTGTAATTATTTTTACTAATACATTCCTAATTATTTAGGAATTAAATTTCTCATAAATTTATTGATCACATACCTCATAAATTTTTGTATCTAACTGTACATTCTATTTGGTACGGATGAAGTATTTGACTTAGAGTAATCTACCACGGTATTAAAGAAACACTGGTTCGTTCGTTACCATTTTAGGTGTAGTATAAATTAGGCACGGAAATATGGTCCACAAAAAAATTACGTATTGAATATAGTCCAGATATACACACAACACTTTCATAATTTTTCTTACCTTAATTAATTTTGTCAGAGTCACATATTCAATACCTTAGGCAGACTTTTGTTTTGTAATTTACGTACACTTCCAACATGCAAAAGGGCCAAAAAAAAAAAGATAATAATAAATAAAAAAAATCACTTAAAATAAAGACTAGCAGTAGAAGTAGCAGCGAAGTTAAATAAATGGTGACATCTACGTGTAAAAACAAAAGTAATGATATACTTGAAATAAACACATTTGAATCACTTAAAAAGAAATTGGGCTTCTTTTGTAAATACATACGTATTTGATATTCGAACCGAATTGAATAAATATCCGAAACCACGAACCGTATCCGAACCGAAAATATTTGCAATATTTGCAAATAATTCGAATCGAACCAAAATTTAAAAATAATTAAAATTCTAATTAAGTCAAAATATTTGCAAATATTTCAAATATTCGAACCGAATATAATTATTTATATAAATTTTAAAATTTAATATAAATATACAAATATATTCGATTCGGTTAACCGAACTGAAAAAATATCAAGAACCGAAACTCAATCGAACAAATATGAAATATGCAGTATTTGTATTCGAACCGAATTTGCTCAGTTAATCGAAAATTCGGTTCAATTCAGTTCGGTTCAGTGATTTGGTTCGATTTTTTTGTCCATCCCTAACTATATAAACAGACAATAATTGAAATTTGGTAGACTATGATGGAGGTAGCAAATGGTGGTTGGAAGCTTAAATTGGGAACCAATGTGTTAGGCAAGATATGAAATATGGAACACACTCATACTTAAAATAAATCATGGATGAATTATTGGGGATTGTAAATGCAAAGTGTGGCTAAAGAAATGATGAGTGATATAACACATAAATTTCTTAAATTGGATGAAGACACGTTGGTTAAAATGTGGGGAATTGATAAAAAAATGGCACTAAGTCACATGATTAACTATCCAAATGAAGTAAACAAATATTTTGGTGGCTAAGATGGGAAAATATTTAGGGTGTTGATTAAGAATAATAATGCATGGAATATAATCTAATAGTACATAATTTAAATTAATACATATTGTGACTATGTACTACATTCTATCATCTAGTATGAATTAATTATGCCACTTTGTTTGAATACGAAGAATAAAAAATAATAATATTTTATTATAAAATTAGGGTAGGTAAAAAACAAAATACTAGTATTATAGAAAATTTACTAAAAAAATCGATAATATAATTGAATAAGTAGAAAAAAGTGTTAAGTTAATTATTAGGGTAATAAAAGTGTGAATGAACAGAATTTATTATAATAGATTATGCACAAATTTAACGGACAAAAAAAAAATACACCTAGCATAATTATAGTGGACAAAAAGAGTACTTCTATGCGAACTATATATTATCAATTCCTAGGTTGTATTTATATTATATTGACATATACTTTATGTTGTCCGTGATAACTCATGCATTGCCGATTTAAACATAATGTAGTATCAGCATTGTGCTAATCATTAGTTAGCAGCAAATGGTTACGGAATCAACACCCATATACAAACAACATGTTCTTATTACATACTATGATTAATAAAGACATGTGTTGTTTGTTTATAATTACATGTGTAATATATAAGAGTATGTCATGTGCTGTTAGTTTATATTAACCTATACAATATACTATATGTAATAATATTGTTTACTGACGTACAACATTAGCACTAAAATCAAATCATATAGAGTTTTAAGTTTAAAATCTAAAATCTGCCCATTGAAGACGGCCCAAAATTAACCCGACCCGACTGTCATCCCTATGGTTGGGAGGGGGGGGTCATGTAGATACGTTCTAGAGTTTTATGATGTCTCTTTCACACAGCTATACCTGACTGCTTTGAAAAAAAAATCATGACATATCATTATATAATGTACACACACACCTCAATTCCCATTTCCCATTTCCTTCTATGTCAGAAGCACATAAATTCCAGGCATGCCTTGCTTGGAAACTATATTGTAGCAAATCATTTAAGGCATCACTTCTACTCTAATGCATATTTCTGTGCAAAATAATGTTCCTTCTTTCATTATGACTGGGCTTGATCATTATAAAAAAAACACACATACACAAGATATAGTCACAAAAGCATAAATATAATTTCGAGCAAAGAAAGGCTTCCACACAAAATACATAAATATTGAAAATAAGTAATACCTGTAAGCGTCGAGGGAGAAGAGCAAAAAGCAAGAATCAAAGCTTTGTATAATATTCCAGATGCTCTGTGAAAAAAAAACAACCAAGAAACAAGAGGGATGGGGTAAAAGGCCACAAAACGGTAACAAGTTATAGGGACATAACAAAGAGCATGCCATAGAGAAAAAGTTTTAAAAAGATTCACCGAAGAAAAAAAAATAAAACAGAACATGGACGAAAACAGAAACAATGGTTGTAAAAGAGCTCGGAGTTTTAGGGGGGGGATAACAGGAAATATTAAAGTCCAAGAAAATGACATATCCACACAAAAAGGAAAGAGTAACCAACATTGGACCCCTACAGAGATTCGAAAAAAGGAAGCAAGTGCTAAGATAAATTCTATGATGAGTGGTGGCCATGTGAGTGTGTGTAATTCCAGCCTCGGATTTATTCAGAATTTGTAAAAACAACAAAAGAAGGGAGGCTTTAATTAGCTTTTACTATTAAAAGAAGCAAAAGGGATCCTAAATGTCAATTGAAAGTAGGAGGGACTTTATTATCTCTGGAGCAAACTAAACTCACAGTTGTCGATCTTAATTACAAACCTGATCCTGCTAGCAGTTAGAAAAGAAATGGCTAATTTGGTATCCATATGGCTCTAATACTAGATTCTATGTCTAGCTTAATTATGCTAATCCATCTAGGGGATTGTACATAAGAGGCATGTCCTACATATCAACCGAATGCAATTGACCAGGCTGAAATGATTAAATTTCTTCAAGATGACAATGTTTAGCTATGAAAGAATGGAAATAACTCGTTCGGCTATTTCTAATATAATAATCTTATACAAAACTCTCATAGATGAATGTCCAATAAAGGAGCAGCTGAGATGAGAACTCAACTGATTCACCTATTTCCTATGGAAGCCTTCAGCTGCCTCCATATAATGACATGATGATAATATCGAAGCACAGAGAGGAAAAAGATGAAAGACAAACAAACACAGTATTTTCTTGTGAACTAAATAGGAAAGAAAGAAATTGATACACAAGCATTGGATATCACAAAAATCTAGAAAGATCATCGAACACGGGGCTGTCAAGTAAATATATTATGATGCGTTAAACAAACTTGTGCAAGGGCAAATATGAGATTCACGATACACAAACATTATGCTCTAACTTTTTTTGGTCAATTTAATAAAAAATGTTAAATAAATTAGAAGCAACAAAACAATAAATGATCTGTACATGACTGATTCAACAACCAAACACAGCAAATGATAAACCCAAATCCCCACATCCAGTTTCTTCGTTTCATATGATCACTTCTCTCCAGAAACTTCGCGAATGTTCTATATACATCGATCAGAAAAACACACTATAAAGGGAGGGAGAATAGGTTACTGCATGAGGTATACTTACATTTTTTTTTTTTTTCTTAATCTTCAGAAATCAACTTAATTTGTACACCTGGATTAAATTATGGTAAATTAGCATGAGGCATAATTTAATTAACCTGCAAGCAGAGAAAAGAATGCACATTAAATTTCATCGCAAAAAAGGCCAAAAAAATAACCTACTTAAACAAAGTGGCATGTCATTCTAGTGAATGTTTCTACCTTCTTCAGAGAAATCAAACATCCCACCCATCCATCCTTCTTCTTCTGGCTTTTCCTCTTCCGGCATATCACCACCCCCATCCATCTCATCAGTCCCACCTCCTGTTGACTCGTGATGGTCAGGGAACAGTGGCTCATTACAGTAACCTTCCTTAAACAATTGGGCAAAATTTACTGTATCTCCATCGCTTGAAGGCCTAAGAATGTCTGGATTTGAACCTGTGCCGTCTGCATCCAATGATGGAAGAATTTCACTGCCTGGTGAGTATGACCTACTGAGGGTACCATTTTCAACAACCAAATTGCTAGCATTGGTGTTTGTAGGTGGAAAGGGTATAACAGGACTCGATTTATGGTCTGTCATGGAAACTTTGATAGCTGTATCTACATTTCTTTCCGTGATTACATTGCTGGCAGGATGGCATATTAGTGTTGGACACTTATCAATGCTCATGTGTTCCAGATCAATTAAGTTCTCCATTCGTCTTGATGATCCTGATGAAAGGTAAAAATATGAGTTTGGGCCCAAAGTATGCAGTGATTGAAGCAGTTATAAGCATTTCTGCCTTCCAGGAGTGATGCTGTGCACAAAAGGTAGCAGATAATTTCTACAAAATGTTCCTTCCAAAAACTACTGTGTATCTTTGAAGTTTCAGTTCAGTTTTTCATTATTTGGACTTCACATTTCTTGAAAAAAATTTTTTTTTTCGTCTCACAAAATATTATTTAAATAAAAGAACCCAAATCTCAAAACCCTATCCAAACCTCAAAAAAACACTTGTGTTTCACATCTTTGAAGGTGGGAAGCAGCAAATAAAATTAAGCTAGAGAACCAAGGTTGTATGTTCTACCTCCATCCGAGCTTTCAGTAGAACTAAATGATGGAAGTTTTGAATGACACATAATACTAGCTTCATTGGTCTTTTCTTTGGCATGAAAACTATTGGAGCAAGCATTAAATACTCTTCCATCAGAAGGTACAGACCTGCATAAAGGAACCAAGAAAAAAGAAATGGAAGTTCAGGAAAACAGATCATCTGGATTATATTCTGTACACAGGACGATGTAAGACAACTAAAAGAATAAATTAATAAAAGAATGTTTTATGAAGATACAACCAGCAACAAAAAAAAAGACAATTTCAGAGAACAGAGCTTTCATAGTTCATGCCGCATCAAGAGCAAATGCATCATTGTCATTCCACCGAAAGGATGCACCACAAGAAGCCTATTGTCAAAAGACCTATTAGCTCCATTAATAGAATTCCAAACTTGCAGCAGTATCACTTAGTTGTATCTGAGAATCTTGTGTTATATTTCATGCAGGTACTAATTACCAAGCAATCACATATATAACACTTACATGCTAATTTTCTGATGATGACAATATGTACCAATCCATCAATCTGGAGCAGATTGGGCAACAAAAACACTATGTAAACTGGAATAAGAATCAGGTGTAGCATATTCACCTGTCATTCCAGCCCGATCTTGCTCTTGGAAAATTATCAAATATTGGCAACAAATCCTTCTGTCTTATTTCAATTTCATGCGAAGAAGTTGCCTCAATTTCGTATTCTCCATCCAAATTAAACTCTGCTCCAGGAGGTTCCATTAAATGGAAATGAATCTTGATCAATAACAACTAGTTAGTTGGCCATATAGCAAAGGTATATCAGAAAATAAAAATAGCTAATACCTTAGGCCTTTGCCATATGGGTAATCTGCAAGACTTTATTTGCACTTCAGCATTTGACAAATACCATTGTGATCTTTCTGGGGTCTTCAATGGACCATTCTTAATCACTTTCTTTTCCGCAGAAACCACGTTTTCCTGGGAAATCGTTTTTGAGCAGTCATCATCAATCTCAAGGTCATTTGGCCCAGCAAAGAAACTGTCAGTAAGACACTCCTCCCTCTCCATACTATCCAACCTTCTGCACACATCCCACCATTGAATAGGTTCAACTTTCACTCTGAACTCATTATTTTGTGGAGGGTTGACTTGTGGAGTTGACAACAGTTCTGTTCCACTTGCACTCAGGTCATGCCCCATTGAGTACACAATTTCATGTTGAACCACAAAACCTGATGGTGTATACACTAAGATGTGGCCCATTGAATTATCAACTGATTTAACATCCAGAGTGCTGGAAGTGTTAGTATTGTGAAAAATTGCAGCCACAGCACCCGATGGCACCCATACCTTACCCACCATTGAAGAAGCAGCATTACTAACTGAATTAATCAAGCCAGAGTCACTACATTTTATTCTAGTGGTGACAGAAAGGGTGCAAGGAGGTGGAGGCAAAACATGATGATCCTTCAAAGTGAAAGATGCAGAAGACCACCATGGTAGGGTGGAGGCCAAAAATAGAGAAGGACGTTGGCCATTAACATGCAGAATCTGAAAAAGATCATCTCCCCCAAAGGGAGACAAAATAAAGATATGGCAAGTTCCTCTTGAAGATACAATTGCAATCCATTGACTGAAAGGACTAAAGCAGATGTCTTGGATAACCTAAAAAATAGCATAAGAGAGTCAGTCAGATGTTCAAGAGAATTCAGACATTGGAAAGGCGGAAATGGTTTTACATAATTAATAACAAAACAACAGTGGCAAACTACTTACAGCATTGGTTATCCCACGATGCAGCTTGTAAAGATGGGCATAACTGGTGCTCCAGTTACCAGATCCAGATCCACCACATTTATGAAAAGGCATGATTCGAAATATATTTATGTTATTTCCATGAACAGAAGCAGTAACCAATAGGGTCCCACTTGGATCAAAACACAAAGCCGAAATTGGGCTCGTGTGGGCCCTAAATTGTGATATGACCTCAGAGCACACAAGGTCTTTCACAGCAATCTGAAATAAGAAATTTTAATTAAGAAAACAACAAATGCTGTTTTTCTGTTATGTAAAAATCAATACTAGCCGCCAAAACACAAGAATCTCAATTTTGGACCCTTGTTCAACAATTTACAAGAATCTAAAAACTAATAATAGTAATAATAATGAATGCCATCAACTTGCACTTACCATTCCAGCATTTTCGGGTTCAGATACTGCTAGTTTCCCAGAAATCCAGCCTGGTGAACTAGGGCTCTCAGGAAGCAACTCAGGATAGTACTTAGATAATTTCTTGTATCCCTTGTCTCCTAGGGTGATTAATCCAGCAGCTAAGTGCTTGCTTGATTCCACTGCATAGCGAGCCATCATTGCGCCGCTCCCAGGAGATGTTGATGGACTGACACTAGAGGCAAGGCTCTTCGGGCTCACCCGGCCCGTGTTTAAGAAAAATGGGCGATTAGGAGAATATGCCAACCACCTTGGCCCCACAGCCATAGGACCATATCCACTGTTCATTCCATACATTCCATGCTCTCCAACTCGAGGAACTGGATAGGTGATGACTATGAACTTCTTCTCCAGAGTCAAGGCATCAAAGCAGTAAATCTGCCCAACAATATAGAATGTAATCGCATTTCCTTATAGGCCTTACAAGACTTACTCTGAGATCAAATAAGTATTTTGTAAATGACAGTAGTCGGTGATTTTAATCCAAGCTTTCTACATGCAACACAGTTATTGTGTGTGATAAAAGAAATTTTTAACAATGAAAACTTACTTGTTCTTCAAGACCAACAGCTACTACTCTTGGGCTGCACCGAACCATAAAAATTGATGACTTGAAGTCAATGGCCTTGACATATTCATTTAATTTCATTGAGTAAAAACGAACAGCAGTAGGTGGATCACAAGAGCCTGCAAATGATGACTCCAACGAACCATTTCTGCCAGATCCTTGCCCATTATTCTGAAGCGAGGTGATTCTTTCATCCTCATTTCCTCCAACCACCACCAGCATTGGATGTGATGATCTGTAACTTCCAAGATCGTCACACTTTGCAGGAGCTGGAAGCATCTGTAAGAAGGTAACGGGGCCATCTCTCCTTGAAACCAACTCACTTACACTCGTAGCATCCTCAACATCAAAGACTTGAAATCCCTTTACGTAGCCAAGTAATAAGACATGTCTGAAGGAAGTTGTAGTTAGCTCCAATTTGTCAAAGCCAGCCCACAACACCTGATAAATGCATGGGTCACCATATGTTATCATTTGGCAATAATCTTTTAACATGGAATCTAATAATGTATGGTGTGCTACATCCTATGCTTTATACATACTATAGTAAAACAATAAGGCTGTCGCTCTTTTTCTTTTTTTCTTTTTTTTCCTTATACATTTAATTAAGACTATATTCTTTTTATAATATAGAAAGTTCAGATCCTTAGATCAAAACCTAGCACAATTCTTACAATTTCAATAAATCAACTTCAACATCAATAATAACAGAAAACAATCAAACTAAAATAGAAGTCTTCATACAATTCCTTCTAGACAAAGTAAGTTATTCGAGTCAATATAACATGCCACTAGACTCGAAAAATTTCACAAAAATTATTACATGCACAATGAATAAAGGCTCACTAAGACCAAGAACACAAATGGAACTACAAAGGACACCTGAAAAATATCACTAATTATGTATTCCAATTCAAGCAAGAATATAAAATAGCTTGAAAGCATTGATAGGGATTATGCCACAAAACCAAAAGATCTCAGAAGCTATACTATCCTTACAAATGAACCCTACACTTCAAGAAACAGTTGCTATTGACCTCAATTCATTCATAATTCTGCGGAGCGACAAAATTGGGCCATTCCTTGAAATGTTACCATTAAAATCAAATAACTGGATAGTTTTCAGAAACTAACAAAGCAGATGCAATCAAGGACACGATATAACCAGATGCAGCAACAAATTCCAAATCCAACAATGGCCAAAAGTTAAAAAATAAAAAGCAAGCTACTTACGGAAATAAAAGACAACATAATAAAGACACCGGTCGACAAATACCAAACTCAAAATGAAGTTAAAAGCCACGACCTGCTCTTTGCGATCGTCTCCAGGCGACGAAATGGAGGCAGCGACGGTTGCGCCGGCCGAGCGCACGGCGGTGCTAGCATTCGTCGATACAGTTTTAATACAAGACGAAATTATCCTAAACGAATTAGGCAGCAACTTGCTGTTTTTCCCCTTGCCTTTCTTCATCGCTTAATATACAATCTCTTCAACAACACCTCCCTCCCAAGTCCAACCACCACCACCGAATCCCCAGGAAGCTCCGAGTCTACTCCACCGCCGTCGTCCACCGACGCGCCAGAGGTGGCTCCGTCGATCATCAAATTGTAAGATCGCCGGATGAATGAGGATGCAGCTGCTAAACACTCGCCGGATTTTGCTATTCTGAGAGATTCAATTTCCTAATTTCTGGAGTTTGACTTGAAAACGAAGGCCTTTATCTACTGTTCCTCTCTCTCTCTCTCTCTCTCTCTCTCTCTCTCTCGCTCTATCTATATGTATATGTATATATCTATATCTATATCTATTTATATATACGCACACGCGATCCCTTCCGCTGCCTATGTTGTTTGCGCAGTAAGCAAATATATCCATCCGCAGACCATTTTTCCTAAAATAATAATAACGGAAACAAAAAAGAAAATCATTTTTCTGCTATTGTAAATTATCATTATCAATTTTAATTTTATCGAAATTTTTTATTTTATTTTATTATATTATTATTATTATTATATATATATATTTATCAATTTTCATCTAATTCAAATTTAATTTTAATTAATTCTATTTTTGTGATAATTGACCGGAACTGAATTGTTTGGTTAAGTTTTACACACTATTGTGTTATATATTCCCTCACTCTCGAATATCTTGCAATATTTTTTTTTTCTAAATTTAGAAATAATTAATAATATTTATATACATATGTTAATATATACTTTATTTTATCACATCATATCCCTCAAATAAAAAACTAAATAATTATTTCTCTCTTCAATCATATGACTTGATATCCAAATTATCTCAAATTATCATGCTTAATACTCCCCATCTAAATTCTCACGGCAAACACAAATATTGCACGATATTTGAGACGAAATAAGTACAATACAACTGTGTTCATATCCGTGTTCAATGTGTTATTATAAACACAAGGATATTCATGCCCTTTCTATGTAAAATTATTTTCACGATCTTATTCTAAATATAATCATATTGTAAATTATTATTAATGTTTTATTTTGAATATACTAATATTTATTACCATATTTATTTATTTTGTTTAAATTAGTATTTAATATATATTTGTAAATCAACCCAAATAATTTTTATAATTGTTTTAAAATATAAACAACAATAATAAATAATTGAATTATATATATATATGAAATAATTTAAACAAAAAATAAATATCTTGGTTAATCCTTCCTCCGTCCCACGGTGTCATTTCTATCGTAGATACAAAAATACGATGGATATAATTAGTGAATAATTAAGAATGTATTAGTGAAATTAGTTATTGTATAATAAAAATAATTTTAAATTAATATTGATATAACTAATTAGTCTAACTAAAATTTTTTAAATGAAATTAAAGTATATAGTACTTTTTCAGAAAAAAAAAATAATAATAAGATAAGTGAGACATAAATGGAAAAATGGACATCCTAAATCATTCAACATGATCGTGTTCAAGCCTTATTCAGTCCGTGTCAATTACCGTAAAACTCAAAATTGATTATTTTTAATTTGAGTGAGACCAAATTTGATTTTTTTTTTTTATATAGAATAAAATTAATAATTGTAATTTATAATGGTACAAAATTAATTTTTTCCTTAGTAATAAATAAATAAATAATATATACAATTAAATTTAATAATAATTAACAAAAAAAAGAAAAGAAAAGAAAAGAAAAGAAAGAGTTTATCTTCAATTTTCTTCCATCATTTAATATAGGAAATTAAAGATGACGTGCTATTTTTGTTGAACAAGGCTTATATATGATTTTTTAATGTATTCTCAATAAATAAAAGCTTTAAAAGTTTTGAAGTTCAATTTTTTTTTCAAATAATAATAATAATAATAAAAAAAAAAAAGCATTATAATTTAATCCTATCTTCATCATTGAAATATCCCATTATTTCTTTTGTATTTTATAGAAACATTAAAACAAAATTGAATAACGATAATATATATTTAAAAGATATATTTGATGTATGTAATTTTTTTTTAAAAAAAATTATTATTAATTAATTAACCGTATCAAAATTTTCAAATATGTCCATATAAAAATAATAGAGTTTTAAAATTTAAAAAAAACAATAAAAATAAATATTTATATAATGTATGTGAGTGAATATTAGGCATGAATTTTATCTTATTTTATTTGATGTTAGGAAATACTCCCTCCCTCCGTTTCAATACAATAGTCTTGTTTACTATTTTTGTTCGTCTCAAAACAATAGTCTTATTTTCATAAATAACTATATCACCATAAAACTACCCCTATTTTTTTATTTTTATTGCACAATTGTTACTATTTTTTACACTAATATACTCGCAAAGGCAAAAAATAATTTTATCCATACTTTTTAGCAACTACCAATATAATATTAATATTCTTTAAATTTCATGCTTAATCCAATTAAAATTATATTTATTGGACGAAGGGAATATTTGTTATCAATTTGCTCTAGTATCTGCAAAATTATCTGAATTTACATTTTTTGAGTCAAAGTTGTTTTTTATATATTCTTCTTTAATTTTATTTGTCGTTCTTATTTACTTTTCAATTAAACTAAATATATTGTAAAAAAAAAAAAGATTTTGATTGTGTTTAGGGTTAGGCCAAAAAAGTCAACAATAAATAGAGTAATTAAAATTTAAAATTTAAGTTATGGATAGGAATAATTATGTAATTTGATTATGTTATTTCATCGAAAAATTTTGGATGTATTTGTTTTGTGAGATAATTTTAAAAACATAATTTAAGAATAAAGAATTGGGTAGATAATATGAAAATAATAAATGTGTATAACATAAAAGTATTAATTTTTGAAAAAAATAAAATAAAAAAGAACAAACCTCTGAAGTTTCTTCTTCAAGATTTTCTAAAAATTCAGGATATCTTTTGGGTGTGTTTGTTTGGGAATTTGGATTTTGAGTTGAGATTTGAATAGTAAAAATTTTGAATTTTAATAGTTGTATGATGTGATATAAATAGATGTTGATGTGATATTTTGAATATAAAATTAATTTTTAATATAATATAAAAAATAAAAAATAGGTGTATGATTTGATATTTTTTGGGGGGAAAAAATGTGATTAATAGTGGAATTAAAATCCAATCCCCCAAACAAACACACCCTAAAGAAAAAACGTATTTTCTCCAAAATATTTTTTTAAAAAATTAGTATTTCATACATACTCATTATTATTATTATACTCCATTCGTCCATACATAAAGGGTGTGTTCGTTTGCAAGATTTTGCAAAATTCTTACTATTCATCCAATCTTTTTCCCCCAAAAACATCAAATCAAACACCTATTTTTTATTTTTTATATTATACTAAAAATCAATTTTACATTCAAAACATAACATCAAAACCTATTTATATCACATCGTACAACTATTCAAATTCAAAATTTTTACTATTCAAATCCCAACTCAAAATCCAAACCCCAAACAAACACACCCAAAGTATACAATTATTTTTGGCGTGGTGTTTGAGAAATAATAGTATTTTAATTACAGTGGGTAGTTAAAAGTAGTGTAATGATATTTTTGCCTTGTTTTTTTTTTTTGGTGTAAAAGTAATGATGTGATGTAAAGTAGGGATATTTGTGAAACAAAACAAGGTATTTAATGAAATGTTTACTTTGTAATTGGACGTCCCAAAATAAAAATATATATACTTTCTAGCTGGACAGAGGGAGTACTATTTTCATCCCGAAACAAGAGTATTATTTACTTTTTGCTCGTAGATTTTTTAATATTTATATTATATTAGTGTGTAGTAAAAAATATAAAAATATAAGTAATGAGTATTAATTATGTTATACATATATTGTATTAGGAAATGATACTTCTGTCTTGGAAATGACAAAAATGGAGAATGTTATTCTTCTTATGGGACGAGAGAAGTATTATTTATACAATTCTCTATACCTTATATAAAATTTAAAAAGGTAAACTGTTTTTTTAATTCCGTAACTAGACTTCTTTATCATTTTAGTCCCGTAAGTGGAGCATGTCGTAAACTAGTTCCATAAGTAAAAACTTTTCACTGTTTTAGTCCTTGGACGTCGGAGACGCCCTCGTGGCTTGCCGAAGGTGACGTGTCCGCTAGGTCAACGATACCTGGCGAATACGTGGATTTTTTTATTTTATTTTTCATTTTTTAAAATTTTTTAAAAAACTTATTTTTAATTATTTGTATTTTTTTTATTTAGTCCAATTTTTTAAAAAAAATTAAGAAAAATGAAAAATAAATAAATAAATTCACATGTCCGCCAGGTGTCGCTGACCTAGCGGGACACCTGGCGGACACGTCACCTCCGGCGAGCCACGCGGACATCTCCGGCGTCGGAGGACTAAAATAACGAAAATTTTCCACTAATGGGACTAATATGCGATAGGCTCCACTTACGAGACTAAAATGATAAATGGGTCCAGTTACGGGACTAAAAAACAGTTTATCCAATTTAAAAAGAAGTGATGGTCACGGTTTCGTGTTGATTTTTATTTTTTTTATTTCTTAATTGGTGTTTTATGAAATTTTTAATCAAATTTTTGGGGGAAATTTTATAGGAATATACCTTCGGTCGTGTGATGTACTTCCTCCGTCCCATTTTAAATGTATTTTTTTTTTATTTGTTTGACTTTTATTGATATATATTTGAATAAATTTATCAAATACTAAACATATTTAATAAATATAAATTAACATAATTAAAATTTTACGCATATGATTCATCGAAAATCCTTTTATTTCTTTATCTTTACTTAATAAATATTCACTCAGTCCCATAAGAAGAGTAATACTTGTTTTTGCACATAAATTTTTAATATTCGTACTATATTAGTTTGTATTAAAAAAAATAAAAATCATATTAGTATTGTATAATAGAAAAGTAATAACTTGTAATAGTATATTAAAAGTTGCGAGAATTTTTATTATATTAGGTAGGTGATACAATATTAAACTAAGAAACAGTATCCGAGACAAAAAAAAATGGAAAATAGAATTTTTTAATGGGATGGAGGGAATATTTTTATTTACATTTATAATTTTTTATGTTTTTTTTAAAAAATTGTTTATGTTAATTATAAATAAAAAGAATACTTTTTATTTTTGTTGATGTAATTTTTCAACAAAAATAAAGTAAAATTCAAAGATATAGAAAATATCCTTAAACTTGATTAATTAGTGTCTGAGATTAGGAATCTCTAAACACTGTATGGTACAGAAAATAAACTGAAAAATAAAAGAAATTTAAAGTGTGATCCCCAAATCTGACT